TAAAAAGTGCTGCACCCTGATCAGATCTGCACCCTTCACTCTTACATGCTTACACCCCATCATGTGCAGCTTGCCTTCTTGAGCAGCTGTCCCCTCTTTGTGTACTGACTCTTCCACCCACCAGGCCCAGGCTGTGCAGGGCCACCTCTGTATGCCCTCAGCCAGGCTGTGCCTCCACTAGGCTAGCATCACTGTCTCTTGCCCCAACAACATGGAATTTCAGAAATAGAACAGATTATATAGAATAGGAAAGGGGAGGTCTCGGAAATCTCTAAAAATTAGGAATTGACTACAAATGACTTCATTTTCGCTAAAGGATGATCACAAAGATACCAAAATCTACATAATACTATCTTGGATAGGAATAGCTGAGAGTCGGGGTTTGTTTCCACATAAGAAAGAACTTAGTAAGTTACATTCAGAAGTAGTAAACTCAGCTCCACACCTGTAGCTCAGTGGCTAGGGTACCAGCCACATACACCAGAGCTGGTGGGTTTGAACCCAGCCTGGGCCTGCCAAACAATGACAGCTACAACTAAAAAAGCTGGGTGTTGTGATAGTGCCTGTAGTCCCAGCTACTAGGGAATGTGAGGCAAGAGAATTGCTTAAGCCCAAGAGGCTGAGGTTGCTGTGAGCTTTGATGCCATGGCACTCTACCCAGGGCAACAGCTTGAGACTCTGTCTCAAAAACTGGACACTGGAGACACCCAATCTGGGAGCAGTTGACTACTGGGAGATGGAAGGGATGGGAGATGGAAGGGGTCTGAGCAGGCCTGGATGTTAAGTACTTAAATGAAGCAATGTGAACTCCCAATGTAGAACAGCATGGTTAAAAGGGACAATATTCATGTTTTATTAAACCACATATTAGAAAATAGCTGTCATTTAAAAATATCTGCAGCAATTGCCATGTCAGTAACAAATTGTCTGCAAATTCAAATCTGTAAGAGAATAAGGTAAGTTGACGGTACCATTATAGACACAGACCCCAAAGAAACCTCATTCCTGTGCTGGGAATATTTGAACTCCACAGGGGATGCTAACAAACCTGGCAAGATACAACATTACGGGTTTTAAGGCATGTTCCTAACCTTAACTCATTTGAGCCTCAGAGCACTAATAGTGTCATTACCCCCATTTTACAGATGACAATGACAAGTAAAAAGTGACTAGCCTGAGGTCACACAATTGATTATGGACTGAGACTGCAGTTTTCCAGCTAGCCCAGGCCTTGGCACAGAGCCAGTCCTCAGCCTTTATAGTCCAGTTCTTGTCTCTTGGTATGTGAATCCCAAACTCCCAAAACAAGTCCCCCTCTGGGTGTAAGGCCTCATCTCTGGTAATCCAAAGGTACAGTCAAGTCTCACAAAATAACCAGGCAAAAGCAAAGCATCACAGGCAGTAACTCAATGAGAGGGGACTGGAACTGGAGTGACCAAGCGCTGGCCAGAGACCAGCTGCATTCACCCTGAGCAGTAGGGCCTAGTGGATATAAACACAAACCTGGAGCTCACAGCCTGGGCCCAGACCCCAGCTTCACCACTAGCTGTGTGACCTTGAGCAAGTGACTCATTCTGGGCCTCCATTTTGCCCTGCGTAGAACTGGGATAACTTTCTGCCAAGGTGAGGATCAAATGAATTTAACTATAAAGCATTAGAACAATACCCTACAGAACAGTAAGAGCTGTTCTTACTTGGCTCCTGCAGCAGTGGGTCTGGGAACAGGTCTTGGTGTTCAGGAATGGATGTGTACTAACTCCCCTGTCAGGAATGTCCTCTATCAATCACAATTCAGCTTTAGGCCATTTCCAAATTAATTAGAATTTTAATTAGTAAAACTACTTTTCTCAGATTCCTGAAGCATAGTACTTATACACCTATCCAGCTAGACTTTTAAGTTATTTGGTTAGAAGTAAAGGCACTTTTTTTTTTTGGCAGTTTTTGGCCAGGGTTGGCTTGAACCTGACACCTCCAGTATATGGGGCCAGTGCCCTCCTCCTTGAGCCACAGGCACCACCCAGAAGTAGAGGCACTTTTGAGGTGCCTTCTGTCTTGTATTGTTCTATTACATGGGCACATATGAACACACCATTTTTAAGTAAAAAACTATTGAAAATGGACAGTTTTATATGGTTCAAACTAATTAATGCACTGAGAGTCTGTGTAAACCTTTGAGTTTTAACCTGGTGTTTTCTTCCCTCTCCCTCTGTCCTCCCACCAAGCACCTAAGCACACAGTGATACTTCAAAAACATCCAGGGAACTGTCAAATCAGGACACTGAACTTTCAGCACCGGGCCTGTCTCTTCCTGCTAGAGGAGCTGCTGGTTCTCTTATTTCTGTCACTTTATTCCAGAAAGCTAGGCTCTCTGGGTTTCCTTGGCAACATCTGGATCTGAGGAAGCTGAGGAGTGCAGAGATGTCTGGAACTGCCCAAACCCCACTCAATTCATCTTTTTGTCCCAAGAAAACTGTAGTGGTTGCTTAGCAACAGTCTCTGCTGATTTATTCCCCTGAGAAGTGAATAAGCAAGTAAAATCTCCCAGCTTGAAAACTGGGTGCAAAGGTTGGGCCAGCGGTCAGGTCAGACACTTGCCTGGGGGCTGAAGGGTAGGGGATGGGTCTGGGCTGCAGGCCTGGCTCAGTCCTAAATCACAGAGGGTAACTTTAAGCAGCTCTCACTTTCTTTCAGGACCTTGGTCTCCCCAAATGTGCAATGAGGTCAGGCATGATGACAGTTCTGGCTGGAGGGTCTCTGAAAGAACAATAGGAGCTAGATGAGGACAAACAGCAAGGGGCAAACCAGAAAAGCCTTGAAGGCTAAGGGAAAGTGCCTGTTTGTTTCCCCATGTAGTCCCAGGGAGCCTCTTAAGAGGTTAAGTGAGGTTTTAGGCAGATCACTCTGGTTTTAGAGTGGAAGTTGAAGATGGGAGAGGGTTCAGACCAGGAAGAAGCTGTTGAAGCTGCTCTGGACAGAGGTGATATGGACAAGTTGAAGGTGGAGAGGAGGCAGATCCAAGGGACCTAAAGGGATAGAAAAGCCAGGGCTGGGCTATCAGTCATTCACAGATATTTACTTTATACTTAACTTTGTGCCAGGTTCACGTGCGATTAGGTGGAGAAGGTTCTCTGGCTGATTGTATTAAGACAAGGTCTGGAGGGGCGGCACCCATGGCTCAGTGAGTAAGACGCTTGCCCCATATACAGAGGGTGGCGGGATCAAACCCGGCCCCGGCCAAACTGCAACAGACAAGGCCTGGATGCTTAGGGCTCACTTGTGGGTGTGTTACTTCGGGCCCCTGGACTGTAGTGTTAGTGACCATGAAGGTGTCAATGTGGTGCGGGGTGGGGGTGGGGGGGAAGCAGCAGCAGCAGCAGGAGGCGGCCTATCTTTAGGACATGTTTGAAAGTAACCTGGGAAACCAAGCCGGTCAAAGCACTGTGCATGACTGATGCATGACTGATGGGAAAGAGAGTGATTTAGTAAACAGGCAGTCAGTAGACTGACCACTCTGCTTGATGTAAGTCCAGGTGAGAGGAGAAGGCTGGGGTGGTCGCCTCGGCCTTGGCCTTTAGGGCAGGCGAGTGATGCTGATGGCGCCTTCCCAGAGTCGCAGGGCCGGGTACAATGGCTCTTGGAAGGTGGCACGGAAGGTGTGCAGGTGGCTCATGCCACCCGTCACGTCGTAGAAGGAGAGGATGCCGGCCTCGTAGTCCAGGAAGACGCCGAGCCGGTCGGGATCGTCGCGGGGGTGCAGGCGGCTGCGCTGGCCGTCGTGGAAGGCCCAGTACTCGAGGTCGTACCGCTTGAGGCACCAGGACTGGCGGTTGCAGCCCAGGCGGGCGGCGGCGGAGGACCCGCGGCGCCGCAGGGAGGCATAGGCCGCGCCCACCCACCAGCCGGCGCCCGCCTCCTGCACGTCCACTTCCCAATAGTGGCGGCCGGCGGCGAAGCAGTCGCGGGCCAGCACCTGTAACAGCGCATCGAACCGCAGCTCGGGCGCCGGGCCCAAGCGGCCCAGGAGGGCGCAGCGCACGGTCAGGCGGTCGGCGGAGAGGCGCAGGCGCCCGTGCATCGTGTCCGGCTCCAGCGTGGGCGTGCGCGCGTCTGCAGAGGGCGGGGATACGGGGGGCACGCCCTGTGGGCGGGGCCAACAAGGGCCACGGCCCCGCTAGCTATTGGCCCGCTCACTTTCCAAGACAAAATGGTAAAACTGTAGGCCACCAAGGGAGAGTCTGAAAGTCCCCCCTTTAGCTCCCCTCTGGGAAGGTAGCCAGGGGCAGGGGAAGGAGAGAAAATTATATTGCACACTCTTTTATACCGTTTTCGTACTACGGTATTGCCAATTTCTAAGAATTTAATTAAAAAATAATCCTCTCACTGGCCCTTAGTGTCCTTCCAATCCTTTTCTCCTTTAATTTGGTGTTTTATAGTTTTCTTGCAAATCAGTATCATACCATACATACTCTTTGGTAATCTTCTTTTTAAAACTGCACGAACATTTTACTTTATCAAATATTCTCTCACAGAAGCATGTTAGTGATTTTTAGATTTTGATGTACAGACACATAATTTAATCCTCTGTTGTTTTTGAGTATTTAAGCTTTTAAAAAAGGTTTTGGAAACATTAATATGATTATATTTTTATGTACCTGATTACTTCTTTAGGGTATATTCCTAAAAGAGGAACTGCTAGGTCAGGGGGTATGATTATGTCCTCCAGTAAGTTTGTAGTGATATAAACTCATTAACATTTCACTTTGTGTTATATCATGTATGTAGACATTAAGGTTTTTTTATTTTTGTGAAATCTGGATCATAGGGTTATGTTGAATGTTCAGCTTTAGTAGAAATGCTATTTTAGTATAAATTTTAGTAGAAAATTCCAAACTATTTACACTCTTAACAGCAACATAAGAGAAATTCATGTTATCCTTGTACTTGTCAACCCCTGGTCTGATCAGTTTCTGAAAAAAAATTTTTTTGAGATAGAGTCTCAAGCTGTTGCCCTCAGTAGAGTGCTGTAGTATCATAGCTCACAGCAACCTCCAACTCCTGGGCTCAAGTGAATCTCCTGCCTCAGCCTCCCAAGTAGATGGGACTACAGGCACCTGC